TGCCACCAGGGCTCCTTTATTTAGCTGAAGGAGAATAGACAATGGACTGTGTAGGAGTGCAGCAGATGAGGGATGATCAGTACAAAGGATAAATGAAATTTGTCAAAACAACACACTCTTCACTGGAATGAAACAGAAAAATAAAATCTACTTATTTCAGTAGTTTCAATGTCCCGGCGATCACACATTATTTCACTGGAATCTTTATCAGGCAAGTCCGTGTTCTTCTCATTTGGGATATTACCAGGCTTTTGTATAGATTGCCCTTTATTCTACTCTTCTCTTAGTTATGCAGAGATCTTCCCAAACATTACAAATTCTGGTGAACAGAATGTGGTAATCCTGGGGATAGTGTTAGGAATTGCCCATTCCTGTAATTCATATTGATTAGCTAACGTGTGGCTGGTGTTATAAACTGTGTGCTTCACAGGTGAATGAGGGATGCCAGCATAATTAATGAAATGCTACATTTTTTTTTTTTCATCTTCTACCCTACTCAACCAGACCACACTCCAAGTATCTTTTGCTCTCTCTGTGAACTGGATAAAGGACAATGTTTTTAATAAGAATGCCCTAGGATTAGGAGTCAAACAAAGCTGAAGTCTAGTCTCAACTATTCAAATATTAACTGGGTAAACTTAGGTATGTCCTGGAAGCAGCACCATGTTCTCTTCCATGGAGATACCAGCACTAACACCTAGGACAACATGCTTTGTTAGAAAAAATAGTAAGAAATAAGTAACTCTACCAATTATTCAGTGCATGTATAATGTTCTTACAAATATATATAAAAACTCATAGTCTGATGAAAATAATCCTGGATAAACACTTCTTCAGGTGGCATGGAAAACATTTAAAATATTGTCAGAATCTGTCAGTAGTATCTCATACTCATTTATTTAAGTAGGGAGGTGCATGGTTCTAATTGAGATTAATCTTGTATGCAATGTAAATTTCATTTAGTTTTGTTTCTTGTGAATAACTTCTTTCCCCCAAAGTATGTGTTCTTTATTGCATGTCCTTTGATGCAAGTTAAATACATGAAAAATATTTTATATTACCAGATTATTTTTGCATAGCCTGCCTAATTTTGTAAATGATTCAG